TTGGGACAGGTTCCTAGAAATCGCTTTCCATTTCGGAAGGCCGCATTGCCTCTGTGGGGCTGGACAGGAAAATATTTTGGTGCCCCCTAGAGGCAATGAGGGGTGCACACTTGTCAAATCCCGACAAGAGGAAGCTGCATGGGGTTCAGTAGGTCTATGTATCACTCACTGTCTCTTCATTCTCCATACTTAGGTGGCTCCCACGTAACTTCAGACCAGCTCTCCAGCAGGTTTTCTCAAACTTTAGAGTTCATAGAAACCACTTGGAGGGCTTGTTAGAACACAGACTTCTGGCCTCCACCCCCAGGATGTGTGATTCTGAGGGACAGAATCTTCATTTCCAACTTTTGCCCTGGCCATGATCCTTAGGGTGAGTGCTGGGCCCACACACTCTGAGAACCACTGGTCTGGAGAATTTTCTCCAAGCTGAAGCTTTTTGTGCAAGCAGTTTTCAGTACCTTTGGAGTTCTGGTGCTGTGGAAGCTGGCTCTGCACTGCTTGCTTGCTCTGACCATAACAGTGTGTGCAGAAACATAAACATCTGGTAGGAGGATGATAGCTCCTGAAGAACTGTAGTTTCTTTGATCCCCCAGGAATTCCAGAGGATGTACATACATGGTTGGGGTGAGGAAGACTAATTGGGAGTGGAGCTCAGAGAACTCAGGTTCTGTCCCTGGCTCTGCAGTTTAATCCTCTGTGCCCTGGCTGCAGATCAGCAGCCTCTGATGTAGGGGAGCAAAGCAGCAACCCTATGGAATTGCACTGTGGCTCCAATTCTCTCAAATTGTTTGGTGCTTAGTAGTCATGAAACAAATTTTAGTTCAGTCTTAATCTCTGGGATCCTAGGGTTTCATATCCACATTTCCAATAAAAGATATTGTGAAAAATGAGAAATTTAACAGTTTCCAACAATGGAAACTAGCATGAAGAGAGATGTAACGATTATGAATTTGATCAATGTTATTACTGTTACCTAACTTTAACTATAGAGACTACTTTTCCCTTATAGTTACCTTTCTTCACAAGTTCCCAATATTTACTCTCTTTCCTATGTACTCTTAATTTACGATATTTTCTTAAAAATATAATTTGGCGCCACCAGCTGCGCAAGTGCAAGGACCGGAGTTTGATCCCGGGTACAAAAAAACCCACATATATATATATATATATATATATATATATATATATATATATATATATATAATTTGGAATATCTTTTACTGTACAGGTTTTAAGTGTCTTAATTGTTTCTAAATTATTCTAGGGACTGGATTTCTTCTCAAAATAACAGGAGAGTGGACTGCCAACTGCAGTGGATTCCACTTCTTCCCAATCCAGGTCAGGATTTATGGAGACCTCATGTGGTGACAAGAGGTACCACAGATAGATTTTCTTGGGGCTGGCTGCAACAGCCAAAGGGAAACAATGCATCTGGGAGCAAAGTAATCCAGAAAGAATTAAAACCCAGATGATAATGTTACTGAAGCATATAAGGGCTCAAAAAAATCATCCTGTAGTAATACTGAAGGAATACATAGTAACATTTTAAAACACTGGGAAACCGGGTTATTCATGTATATGTTTCCTGTTTCTGAGAAGTCCATGACACACAAAAAAATTAATGTGCTCTGCCTCTCAGGAATTAAAGTCTTTCTTGTTTTTTTTTTTTTTCTTGGTCTTGGTGAAGTTCACTGGGCATATCTTCTTATATAAATCTGCATCAAATTAAAAATATGTTTCTGTGGGCATATTGCTATGAATGTTATTTTTAGCTCCCACTTGGTTTTATACAAAATGGACAAAAGTAAGCAGGATAGAGAATCAAACTCGAACCCATGTCTAAGAATTTCATTCCTGTCAACAATATTGATAATGCTTATGAATACAGTATTTGGAACACAGGATGCATTCTTGCAATTAAAATGCAGAACAATGATTCTGATGGTTAGAGTTAAACACAAATACGTCTTGCTGCCAATAAAGTATTAAAGTTGTGAAATTAAATGAGTTAGTGTATCAGTAAACATGCTGTAAACACATAAGTTACTGGTAGGATTAAAGAAAACTCCCTAGCCGGAAGAACCGTTCCACATTGACAAGTACTTGTTTTGTATCATATTTTGCTTACCAGAAAATGTGACTGTGGCTTCTCCTTTCTCCTTCTTAAGGAAGTTACATAAGAGACCTTTAAGCTAAATCTAGAAGGACAACTGAGTTAATAAATGTTAAGTGTTTTAAACTCTTTCAAAGAAAAGAAATATAAAGCAATGGAATTCAAATGAGCTTCAATTCAGGTTTTGAAAGGGAAACCTGCTTTACAAATGTCTTTAAAGGGTTTTTCAGGACAGGTAGAAGTAACCACTATGAAAGGATATTTTGGAAAATTTAACTAGGGAAATTAAGACTATTGCAGGGACATCAGGTTGAGCATATTCTCGAGTTAAATAAACTACTTAATTCTCAAGGCACCTACTATATGCCAGACATATTGTAAAATGCTAAAAAGACAAAAATGCAGTCAAATGCTCTACCACTGAGCTATACCCCCCCAAAAGACAAAAATGAATCGGACAGGTCTTCTTGCTTTCAAAAGAGCCACACATAATTACACGAATAATCACTATGCTGTAAAGCTGGCTTTAGGGTGGGGGCTTACATAGATTGCCATGAAACCCTTTTGGGGTGGAAGGTGGTCCAGAAGAAGTGGAGTATTTTACATTCCAGGAAAGGAGCTGACTCATTTAGGAGTCATTTCAAACCTGTGTCACACTGGTTTGCGCTGGGGGAGAGGAACAACGGTAGCTGTTGTCAGACACACACCACACTGAAGATACGAGAAGAAATCAGGAAATTCTCTTTCCAAACAGTGGGAGGACATATCCAGATTGGCCCCGGAATAAAGGAAATATTCTGGTGCAGTGTGCGTTGCTAGGGATTCTTCTTTCCTCTCCTTTTACCTCCTGAGAGACACATTCAAACCCTTAGGGTTTGGGGAGCTTCTTGTGCATTGAAGACGTCACCTGAGTGTCTTGTTAAGCGTGTGGCTATACAAAAAGGGTTAAATGGAAAGGGATGGCTTGGAGCGGGGAAGGCAGGCAAGCAAGAATGTTGAAAAACATCGTTTTCCAAGTTGGAAAAACTCTAAACTTTGAAGTTCCCCAAAATACACACGCGTGTGTCTGTGAGCGCAGGCAGATCTATTTCGGTAAGGTTTCTTTTTATTCTAAATCATAATCTCTCTGTCTCTCTGCCTTCCTCCCTCCGCTGCAAACACTGAACAGCCCCCCTCAAGATCCTGTGGCAAAAGCCGCCGCAGAGGCCCTGGCAGCGCAGCTTATCTGGAGCTGCGTTCAAAGCTGCTCTCTCCCCATTCTCCCGCCGCAAACGACCGTCCTCTCTGCAGCGCGGGTCACCTCCGGGGCCCGGGAGTTGGGGGCGCAGGGCCGGGAAGCGCCCTTCCGCAGCCAAAGTTTGCCCGAGCGTGGGCGCGAGGGCGCTAGCCCGGGTGCACGAGAGCGCGCGCCGCCAACCCCGGCCTCACCTCTCCCGGGCGAGGTGCAGGCTCCCGGAGCGCAGCCGGGGGAGTGGCCGGGCCCGGCGGGGCGGGGCGGGGCCAAGGGGGTGGGGACTCGGGTGGCTATATAAGGACCGCGCCAGCTTAACTTCGGACTTGGGGTTATTTATTTGGGAAGCACCTGGACGGCGGAGAGAGTCGGCGGCAGTGGCTGTCTCAGACGGCGCTTTAAAAAAGGAAAAAAAAAAGAAAAAAAAGGAGGCGGAGGCGACGGGGGTGGCTGCAGCGGCCGCGGCAGCGAGGGATGGGAGCGCCGAGGCTCCGGGGCGCAGGCCGGAGCTGCCGAGCCTTCCCAGCGCGGCGGGCGTGCTGAGAACGGGGAGCGGCCGGCGGCCCCGCAGCCGGCTCCAGAGGCGCAGGCAGGGTTTTTGTTTGGCGACGCTCGGCGTCTGGCAGCCGGAGCGAGCAACTCCAGTTCCCGCGACAACCCACCTTCCAGCAGCCCGGGGAGACTTCGGCTGCGGCTGCAGCGTCTGTCCTATTGTTTAGACACTGGCCAGGGGCTCCGGAGCGGCAGACCCCGCTCTCTGTCGCCGCCTTCCCTCTCCCCACCTCCTTCCCGGGAGCAGGAGGCGAGGAAAGCAGCCGGGAGAGGGGAAGGGGCGGCGGGGAAGGGCTGCCCGGGCTGCGGCTGCTGGATCAGGTGCAGCACCGCGAGCCGGGCGGTATCTCGACGTCGGCGAGCGGACTCCTGCCGCGGCCGTGGGAGACGGGACCCCAAGCCGGGAAAAGTTCCTGCACTTTGAGAAGGACGACCCACTTGTGGGAGGCTGTCAAGGGGCGGCGGGGAAGCGGCGCCTGCCGGGAGCTGGCTGTTGTTTCTTCCACCTTTGCCATCAGGTGTCTGCCGCGGAGCTGCAGCGTATCCGGGAGACAAGAGGGGCTGACACGGGGGCGCGCGCGACTGCCTCTCAGCCGTGGACCGGGCTCCAGCACCCGCCCGCCTCCTAGCCATCCTCCGGACCCCCCAGCGGGACGCGGACGCCACCTCAGCCTGTCCCCTCTTTCCAGCCGGCCTGCTTGCAAGTCCTGCCCCGGGCCCTGCCCACTGTCTTCACGGGAGCCAGCGTCCTCAACTTGGTCTCTTGGATTTCCCCTGCTGGGGTTCTGACGAGTGGATATTCCTTGCCCGGCTGCAGCCGTCCGACTGCCCTTTTGTCTTTCCCTGTGACCTCAGGCAAGGCCTCGGTGCGGAGCGTCTCCAAGGACGCCCGGCGGGAGGCGGGATTGCCGAGGCTTCCCTCAGCGAAGTGCATGTGTGTTTGCCAACCATCCTTGGCGAGCACCGGTCCCGACTGCCGCGGAGCCGCCGGCAGGGGAGAGGCCGCGTGAGTGAGCCGAGCTGTGCGCCGCGCAGCGCCGCCCCGTGCGCCCCCGCGCGCCATGCCCAGGGGCTCGGCGCGCTCCGCTGCGGGCCCGCGGGGCTCCCGCGCCTTCTAGCTGGGAGGACCCCACTCTGATCAGGACCACTATTACCACTGAGCTCCCTCTTCTGCCCGGTACTCTCTCCACTGAAATCGGATTTGCAGAGGAGTGCGTGGGATCAGACACCCCCCCCCCCCCGCAACTGCATTTTCGCGGTGGTTGGGAGCCCCAGCTCTTTTAGCGACAAGCCAACTTGAGCCTTGTGAGACGGAAGACGCGTGATTTCCTCCCCGCTGCTGTCTGGATCTCCTTAGAGCCTTGGCCAGGCCGTTTGGTCTTCAGGTTCTAAAGTTGCCCACGGAGCTCCTGCCCTGGTAGAAGAGGAGAGAGGGGGAGGGCAGAGCCGTGTGCCTCTATTGGCTCCACTCCTTTGCATATCACTAGTGTTCCATATTATTTTGTGCCCATTTCCCCGCGGCACTCTGGGCTGCTGACCTCGGGCCAGGCACTGGGCCTCAGACACTACGCGGTTTCCCGGGAGCGGCGAGCTAAGGAGAAACCCCAACGCCCGCGAGCGAGGAGGCGGCGGGGGAAGATGCGCGGCGTGGGCTGGCAGACGCTGTCCCTGTCGCTGGGGTTAGTGTTGGCGGTGCTGAACCAGGTGGCGACGCAGGCGTGCCCGGCGCAGTGCTCCTGCTCCGGCAGCACCGTGGACTGCCACGGGCTGGCACTGCGCAGCGTGCCCAGGAATATCCCCCGCAACACCGAGAGGCTGTAAGTATGGGCTTTCGTCTGCCCCTGCCCCTGCCCCTGCCCCTCAGGGTAGCTCACTTCTGGCTTCAGCCTGGAGGGACCAAGCCTCCAGGAGACCTGAGCCCGGGGCAGCCCAGACGGGCTCTCCTTCCGCACATCCCGGGGCTGGGTCTTTCCGGGGGGCGAAGCTGGGGGGGGGCGGGTCCGCTGGCTGCAGCGCTCGCTCTCGTTGCCCGGTCTCGTCCCGGCACTCTCTACCCACGGGGAGGAGTTCTGGGGCGCTGGGGAGGTGGGAGATGGGGGACCTGTATTCAAGGGTGCCCGGGGCAAGTCAGGCTGACTTTGTTTCCCAGACTCCGCAGACAGAGTCACCTTGCGGCGGCGGATACGGGCAGGTCGGTCTCAGGGCCGAGTCCCCGCCCTTGGCGACGCGCGCTGGCGCGAAGGAGTTGGGGGGGGGGGCTCGAGAGAAACTTCCGCTCCCCGCCTTTGTGTCGCCCTCCTGGGGACGAAGGGAGGGGAGATGGGGTCGTGGGACGCTCAGGGTACTTCTCACTCTGTGGAGGGAAAGGTGTCACGGGACAGCGACCGCTCTCCTAGTGGCTGCGCAGCCCCCCGCGGTGTCCCCGTCCCCCACGCTGCGGGTGGAGACGGCGGGGTAACGGCCCGGGAGGCGCCTCGGAGCCGGCGACTGCAGCGGAGGAGCGCGTCCCATCCGGGGAGCGAAGTTTGTGTGGCGCTCCCAAGGGAACCCGCCGAGCCGGTTCTGTCTGGGCCCAAAGCCCGGGCCGAGCCCCCAGCCGCGTGCGCCCGTCCGGCGTCCCGTGCGCCCCCTCCGCGCTCCGCTGCCCGCAGGCGTCCCCGCCTCCCCGCCCCGCGAGTCGCTAATGAAGAAGTAAACTCGGCCCGGCGTTGACGGCCCACGCGCACCGGGTGGGGGCGCCCCGGACTGGCGGCAGCAGCGGAGCGTGGAGGCCGCTCCGGAGCCTTTGTGAACCCTGGTCCCGCCCCGCGCCCTCCGGAGCGCCCTCCCGAGCGCCCTCCCGAGCGCCCTCCCGAGCTCCCTGGGCTCGCTGCGCTCTCTCGGTTGCCCGTGGGCTGGGCGGCGCTGGTCCTGTCCCCGAGGCCTTTGCACCCTGTGAGAGCCCCGCACTGCGGAGAAGACGCCCTGGGGCTTTTTATGCATCTCCTCCGGGCTCCCTGGTTTTCCCACCCTAGCCCACCACAAGGATTTAAAGGGCGGGTTGACCCCTTTCTTCCTTCGGGAGGGCTCAGGGACTCCCAGGCTCACCGGTCCTGGCCCTGTCCCTTCCTTCCCTCCCTCTCTCTCCCGCATATCCTCAGTGCTGAACAAGTTGGGGCCTTATGAGGGCTGGTGGTCTCATCAGGACGTGGTTCACCCCTTTAGTCTGGAGTAGGGTAGCAGTTCTTGTTACATCAGATAGCCCGGAAGAAGACGCAATAACTGTAGGAATAACTTAATGGCACGTTCTTTGCTCAGTGTGAACAAGTGGGTTGGGGAGAAGATGAAGAAGTAATGCAGAATTTTGTTTTAGCATTTGTCATTTCATGCTCTTCAGAATAGTTTAAAGTTGAAGCATCAACATGTCTTACTCAACCGAAAAAGAATGCTGGGAGAAAAATGGCAATCTAGTTTCGAGTCCTTAAAAAAAATTATGAGGGCTATATAACGAGTTTTCAGAAAGTAGTATGCGCAGTGCTGGCTTATAAAATTCTGTCATTGACTAAGTGAGTGCAGATTTCAAACCTGAAGTTATGCACCACCACGAGCCGATTTCTACGAAGGAGGACCTAGAAACTTCTTCAAAGCTTGGCCTTACATGAAATAATTGGAAGCAGGGCAGGCTTAGATCTTGACCTGAGATGCCAGAAAAGAGAGTTGTGTCTGGTAAGGGAAAAAAGTGGCCCTGAAAGCTGAACAGAAATGTCAGGGCCCAATGGGATTTCCACACTGCCCCTGCCAGTAGTTTCCACTTTGCCTTCACCGCGGGGGGCCCTAGATGCAAATGAAGTGAAGTTTTCATACAAAAATAGAATTGTGGGAAGGTCAATGCCCCATAAAGGCGAGTCTTGAAAATCAAGTCCTTCCATTGCATTCGGAGTTTTTTCTTTGCCTTAGGAAGTTTAGCCACCACACTACCCACCTCTCAGGATAGTCTTCTGGATTTTAAAAATTTCTTCTAAAGTAGTGTGAGGAAATTGTTCCTTTCACTTCCTGACTTGAACTCCTTGGGGATTTGCCTAACAATAATAGCAGAATACCTGTGAAATTAATACACACATCCTTATGGAAACAAAAATCGAAAGTGCTCCCATACACACACTCTCATACAACATCATAGCAGAATGACTTCATTTACTCCTTCTATGCCAGCAAGAATAAATTTTTTGAGCTTGTCATTAATAAAATATTCTTTCAAAGATTGCTCCCTCCCAGTTTTTTCTAAACTACTCATAGAATTTCAGTCTTTAAATTCTAGCTGCTTTTTTACTTTGTTTAACCAAAAATAATAGGAATGAAAAGAAACTTTCATTTTCTGGTTATCTCTTAGTGATCTGAATGGAAATAACATCACACGGATTACGAAGACTGATTTTGCTGGTCTCAGACACCTAAGAGTTCTGTAAGTGTGTTCTTCCTCTGTAATTTGGAAAACTTTGTTTTTAAGATTACACAGTCAGAACTGTTACTGGTCTCAGTTTTTAAGTCCTGTCCGATGACACGAACAAAAAATTGTGAAAGTCTTGCTTTCTCTTCTTTTTTAATCACTGTATTACAACTTTAGTGAAAATGTGGGCCTTTATTTTAAGATTGGATGTCTGCCATAGAAACAATATTATAGAAATGACCTCAAATCTTTGGTTTACCATACCCTAAGTGCCTTAAGTGCATTAAAAAATGGAATAGTTGCTTTTATAATATAAATAAATTATGTGAGATATTTGATACTTTTCAGATATAAGATTAACTTGATAAAAATTTAAGTGGATCTGTGTTTTATTACTGAGATCAAAATGTTGAGAAATTTTTTTGCAAAGAACAATTAGATATAAATTTTGTCATAAGAATCTAGCAATTGAACATAGCAGTTTTTGGCAGAACAGTGTTTATAAACGTTTCATTGGCCGTGTTTTGAATTGTTCCTTACATTTAATTACTTTGTGGCTGATATAAAATAGTTATGATTACTCTAATGAGTGTGTTAATTTAGCTGTGAGTAAGCCATCACTGGAGAGTGGGTGTTATGTAAAATGGCTTTCTCCCGCAGGATTGTAAATATTTACCCACCAGTGGCCATATACTTTTGACCATTGTACATTCAGTGTTCAGTTTTTAAGACACATTTTGGCCCTTATGAAATCCTCCAATTGCTAGTGTGTATCTGTAAGTCAGAATTGAAGTATGTGTCTGATGAATTTCTGCACATTGATTTCCTAGTTAAGAACTCAATTGTAAATCTGTGTACCAGAAAACATCTATCAAAGCTGAAATTGTCACAACTTGCTTCTTACTTATGTTTTAAGGTTCATACTTTTGACTAGTAAATTTTGTGAGAAACTCCTTTAGTGTTTTCTATGAGAATTTTGTGACGTGAATGTTATTTCTCCTCCCTGAGTTCTTTCACATGTATCATTGTTATATTTGCTATTAGATCTCAAACCAAATCTCAGACTCTATCTTTAGAGAAGGAAAGAGACCACACATTTTCAGTTGCTGAGTTGAAACGTGCTCAGAAGGTGACATTAAGAAACATGTTCTATTATGTATTTCAGTCAGCTCATGGAGAACAAGATTACCGCCATTGAAAGAGGAGCATTCCAAGACCTTAAAGAACTGGAGAGACTGTAAGTATTTTCAATTCCACACTCATGACAACATGACTGTAGCTTTACAAGCGCTTGAATTTCAAGGATTATGCCTTCAACTTCATCATGCCTTAGCTTTTAAAAGTTTCCATAAAAGGGAAGATGAATAAATGGTTTTCAGATTAATTTACAACAAATAGTGTTTTTGGACAAAGAGCACTAACATGTAAGAAATCACAAACGTACAGACTTAATTTCTTTAGATATTTGTTTCCTTGCTAACCATTGCTCTGGTAGTGGAAGATAGTTCCTATTCTGTCATATGATTTGTTTTATTCGTCTATGCAGGGAAAAGTTGGTAATTTTATTTGCATTAGTGGTGCATTTTGGAAAAGAGAGGTTTGCTAACAGTCATTTTAACTTCCATGATGTTGTTTTGTGTGGCTCCAGTGACATTTAAAGAAAAAATTTTAAATTTTACTGATATTTTATTTTTTGATATTTAACATGGTGAACATGGTTAATAGCTGCTATTTATAGTTTATTTCATTATTTAATAGCTTTAAAGTATTTCAGCTGGAAATTTAAAGAATATTAAAGTAACAACTGTGTCAACAAGGTGTAGTTATTTAAATTGACTCTTTTTTTCCCCTAAGAAGATTAGTATAGACTTCAGACTTTAAAATTTATTTTTTCATACCACAAAATCTTCTTTATTGATATACATTACTTGAGGGCATGTAATTTATGCTCACAGTGTGTATAACTACAAAAGATAAAACCTGTATGTAAAATAGGGTAAATTACAGACATGGTAATTTGAAATATGGATTACACAACTCATATCTTGATCATTCAAATTTGGTAGGCTTGCATTTAAGGGCCAATAAAAGCTCTATTAAAAGTCACACAGTTATTTTTAGTGCATTTCCATATCTGCTTTAAATAGTCACTTCAGATAAAAGTAAAACTTTCATTTAAAATAATGAAATGTGGTCATTTTAGTCATAACATACATTCAGGTTCACTGGGCCCCAGGGCAAATGTTAATACTATGTAATTGTCCTGAAGTAGAAAAATGTTTTTTGTCATCTTCTGAGATATTTGTGAATATATGGGCTACATTTTAATTACCTCAAATAACAAATATCTACTGTATCTTACAGTAAAACTTTGTTATGATAAGTATAACAACATAAGAAATATAATTGTAGAATTCAAAATAAGTTTAAAATCACTACTTTGAGTTACTTTTGGGGGGGATAAAAAAACAAGATAAACAATTGGTAGAGTTCAAAATGAAGTTCATGAGTTCATAACCTATTTTTAAGTATATATGCTCTGAAAGTATGTATCCTTTGATCTCTTTCATTGCCTTTCATGAATTGTTACTACTAGTGAGTAACTTACAATGATATAGCCATTTAGAAAAGAATGGATATATTTTAAATAAATAGGTAATTAGTAATTTTATCATTAACAGTTTTGTAAAAATAACTTCAAGTCATCACATGGAAATGGCTACATCTTGGTTCAGTAAACAAGTTTTAAGTCATGGAGTCATAATGGCTCTTCTAGCAGGGTCTCCCTTGTTTATATTTACTGTTACATGTTTTCAGGAACAGTAGAACCAAACACACTTTGTTAGTATTTTTCAAGGAACTGCAGAGTACCATCTGAACTTCCATCTTGAGTAAGTTAACTTTCCCTAAAAATGATTAACCAGATGCTGTATGGTCTGAAATCTGATTAGAGTTGTAAGTAGGTACTAGTTTTTTACTTTTCACTTCCCTGGGGAATGTCACTTCATCTCAGAACAATTTTCTCTTCTACTAAGCCAGAGTCAGATGTTTCAGAGTGGGAGGAGGATTTGTAATTTTGAATGAAAACTAATATATATGCAGGACTTCTTTAAATCACCCCAGCTGTTGACTGAGAGCAAATATTTCATATTTGTGAGGAAAAGCTGAGAAAATTCCTTTTGTTTACAACTGCCAAGTCCATCTGATGGAAGCACATTGTTATCTGACAGCCAATTCATCTCCTTGGGACTCTGGAATTCAAAACCATTTCTTAGGAACATTGTAGATGCACTTTTCAAATATTTATTTTTTAAATACATTAGATGGCACAAAGCAGTTTTGCTAAGAAATGTATTCAAGTTATTGTGAAACAAACTAATTTAAATTTTCTTCAGTATATTGTTTGAAAAAATTAAAAATTGAAAACAGTAGTAAAAAATGGGAGTTCCAGACACAAATTTTTATTACGGGCTTTGGTACATACTCATATTTTAGTCAGTGCTATTAACATCAAAAACATTTACTGCTTTTTCAAAAAACAGCAGGGAGCAATGTGAGAGGAAGTAATCAATAAATTAACTCTTAACTATGAACTGTGAACACTTAATTTAGATGTGCAACGTTAAATTGGACTCTAAATTAAGAAAAGATGCATAAATGCAGGTTTCTTTTGTAAATGCCAGTCATACAGTGAGGTGACTTACTTTTTATTACCTGCATGAAGAACAAAAAAAATGTTAATTTTATGTGTGTGTAATTTATAGCTCTAAGTTTCTTTCATTTTAAAATAATAAAAAAATCCTAAATGACATTTTGTGAATATTTCAAAGTTACATGTTTTTCTTATTTTATGGGGATGGAGTTCTTACTCCATCTAGAGAAAGAAGACAAATCTGAAAACAGAAGATAAACTTTTGTGCCTTTTATTAAATGTAATTTTAATCTGTAAGGAACAACAAACTGTTGCTAATTTTAATTTAGTATTTCCCTGAAATGAGAAAGCCATCATTTGTAAATAAAAGTATTAGAACTACAAAAGAAAGATACTTTTCTAATCAAAAGAATGGATGTAGTTCAGCATTTTCAGTCAAAATATCGAGAACGAGATGGATGGGTAAAGGATGAAAATATTTTCTTCCTCTGTCTCTCTTGCTCCTTTACTTTTCATTACTTTTTTCTTACCGTCTCCCTCCCACCCTCCTTTCCCCTTCACTCTTTTCTTTTTATTGTGAGGAAGATAGCATGAGGTGGTGCAGTCAAATCATCATGGCAATGTGGTTACCAATCACTGTAGAAGGAGTGAGTTGTCACCATGTCTCCACACCCTGAGTGCACATTCTTTCCTGTGACATTTAGCTCCTCTACTCCCAGACCTGTCTGTGCAGTGGCAGGTTTTCTAGGATTCTCTGTACTGGCAGCTGCACCTGTTTAGCTGAGAAAACATGAAGCACTGAGAATGTGTCTCTTTATTAGCGTATCTCCTGTTGTTTAATCAGAGGTTCAAAGGAATTCTGATGCAGTTTAATGGCTAGCTAATTAGTGGAAATCAAGCAAAAACAAACTACAAGAAAACTACTGCAAAGATTTAGAACACATATTAAGTGTACTTTGCAGAAGATGACACACACACATATATATATATATATTGACATAGATTCTCCATACAAAATTATCATTATCTTTGTCTTTATTATTATTATTACTATTATTTGAGGCAAGGTCTTGTTATGTATTCCAGGCTGGGCTTGAACTTACTATGCAGTGCAGGCTTGGCCTTGAACTCATGGCAATGCTCCTGCCTCAGCCTCCAGAGTGCTGGGATATCAGGAGCATGTGCCACCACACCCGGCGTGCATACAAAATTAGTAATTCAAGATATTTCACAGCTGGTGCAATGTAGATAGTTAGAAAAGTGACAGTGGGACACCGAAATTGTGTGCACTGGTGTAAAATTGTGTTGCATATTTATAGTTTCTGTATAGTTAAGATTATGCTGCATAGAACTAGAGAGTTACCCAGTTCTGTTTTATGGTCTTTTATGAGGAACTGGGTACTTCAGGGTCCCATAGTGGAAATCATCTTTTCCTTTTGAAAATTCCTTCAAAATACAAATGCAATACTATGAGAAAGTTCTTCAAACTTCCTAGGGGTGTCATAATTTTGATATTTGCTCTAATACTGCAAAAATGAAATTCATACATGCCTAGCTTAATGTTGGCGAGAACCAATAGCATATCATGGAACATCTTAGATATTAGGCTTTCCATGGACATTCCCGTCACCTGACACCCTCAGCCAGGAGTTTGTAGAAGTGATAAAGGCAAGCATGTGGACCTTTTCATCTTTTCCCACCAATAATATTTTAATACGTGCTTTTAAGAGAAATATACTGCCTTAAATGCTTCAAGTCTTAGCACCTTTGTATATGAACTAATATTTTTTCTACTAGTTTTGTCATTGGACATTTATTTTTGTTGGAAAACTAGACCTGGACATATTTTTGTAATGCAAAAATGTAAGAAATCCTGGAAAATATGTCCATTAACGCAAATTGTTAAGGAGATACATATTTTAATTTAGAAAACCCAATTCCCTTTGCAATAGAATCTACATATGAGTAAGCATTATATTGATATCTAAAGGCATATTTATGTTCTTTTCCGAGGGCAGTGCTGACTTTGTTCTCTTTATGCGAACACACCATTCATAAGCAAGTGACAGTGTTGAGAGGGAACTAGGATATCCTAGGGTGTTTGTTGTAGGTTGCTACACATGAGTTCAAGTGGAGAATATGTTGTGGAACAGGTCTGAAGTAAAGGCCTGTTTATCCTCTGCTCACCAAAGTTGTAGAGAACTCCTGTGCGACTAATCCTATAAATTTATGGGCAACACATGACACATACCTTTTCTTATTGTAAGGGCAAGTAATACCACTAATCTTCTTGGCAAAGAATACAGGCTCATCTCAAAAGCATTGCTTTCTGCTATCTTTACACCTCAGTTTAAAATCTCTGCAGTCAGTTTCTTAGAAAGTCTCTGTAGAGAAGGACATCAGGCTCTGTAACACAGATTCAGTATGCTGGATAAAGTAAAAATGCTCTAAATAAGGTGATATCTGTGAATTGTCAGTTATTTTCATGTATTCATAAGCAGAATGGAGTATTTTAAATTATGCTTACTGACAGTGCTCATAGAAAGCTTTAATGTTACAAGTTAAGCAGATCATTCAGTCTGTCT